ACATGAACATAACTTGATACCGCCTGTACCAATCGAACGATTAAAGACAAATTACTGGAAGAAAGTCAAAGAAGCCATCAGAGCAACAAAAAACGACTCACGATACGTAGTTGGAGCAGAATTTGGTCTCTTGGAAGCGATTGATGCGTACGACGCGCTTATGGTCGACGAGAGCCGGGGACATGATCGGATGGCGGATGTCGAGGACACGTGAACGATTACGAAGGCGTTGCTTGATTCATCAAAGCGCCTCAACACTATGATTCGTATGACGGAAAAGAAGAGAACACGAGCTGGTGAGGAAGGGATGTCACGACTCCTCGGAACATGCCTGAAAACGAAATAACTGAACGAATAACGACGGCGTCATAAATGCATTCGGCATCATAAAAGCGAAAACACGCTGTTTCTCGAACAACGACGCATCACTGTGACCACCTCTCATGGTTGTGTATCACAGCGACAACGACGAAGACGACTCGACAGAAGCCACGTAATCAGCTTAACTATCACCGTACAAGGATTGATTTAATCCGATCGCCGTCGCTCGACAGAAAGACGAAACGGAAATCGATTTCGCCGTTGTTACAACGAATGCGAAAACTAGCTAGACAGAGACAACAGGTACGTCAATGACGACAAACGTACGGCATTCGTCTGAAGGAAAAATTGACGTCGCGACCTCTCTTAACTTAAGTAGTGTAATTCCGTCTATGATCAAATGTACGCATACGACTCATCTGTATTCATACTGAATCATTCAGACAGATGATAACTGTTAACAATCGAAATAAAAATCGCAGACATAATACAACGGAGTCTCTGATCCTGCACTGAAAACTGCAGTTCGGAGCAGCGCGTAGATTCACAAGCTATGTACAAGCTGCCACTAAGCTAACTCTAAACAGATATGTAACAAAATTACTGCAACATTACAACACCTACAATGCCAGTAAGGTTCTAGGCATTGATCGCTTCGGTTTTAAAATACTGGTCACTTTAAACTCATTTTAAAGTAACGATACCTGTCGACAGCTAGTACAGTAAAACTACAGCAAAATTACTTCAGGCGTACATTTCTCATTTAATGAGCCATCGTATTAGTCGGGCTCATCTTCGCAGCCACGAAGCACACGTGGCAACCAGAGCATGACTACGTTAGAACAAATGGTGCCTCATTCAATTGCAAGTTGCATTCCGTTTCTTGGGTCACTGCACCGAATGATACGCAGTGACGTAGATTTTTTTCTCAGTGGAACTTATTTAAGAATGGGAAAAATTTGTCGATAATGGAGTTGAACCAGTACCTTTCATTCATAACTCTTAACGACTTCAACAGTACAAGGCAGTTGTTGCATTTTAGCAGAAGTTTCTAGAGGATTAAAGCCCTGTTTTTTAGGTTAAAGTTTGCAAATATACATTTATTGAGATAGTTCTTCACATAATTATTGATTAATTTAATTTAGATTGATGGAATGCCCAACCACTGTTGAATCAGCAGCAACAGCTGCAATGATCATAGTGGCGATCCATCTGTGGGTAGGATTAAACCTCGTATAGTTATCCTTCCGATTTTAAACGAGCTCTATTCTTTGTAGCGGGTCATAGACTTGATGCATGTTTATTGTTGCTGATACTGCAACAGGACAAAGTTGCAAACGTACGGTGATAATCGTGTAACAGAGAGCGCCAGTTCAAATTGACTGATCCTTCTTCCTAATTAATAATTATCACTATTCTTATGTTTTTACGCCCATGTCCATCTGTTTCGCATGATTTCTCGTCACAAACGTCCATATCTCCCTTTTACTTCATCATACCGTTTTAGACTAGGTCTTCTAAATAGATCTTTGCAACCCTTGGGTACCAACCCTCGTTGTGAGTTCAAATTGCTTAAATTTATTGACAATTTAACTACACAACAAGTGCAACCATGTTGGATTAATGAGGTTAGTTTTTTCTTGCCGGATGATCATGATATTTGCCCTTTCCACCGTGACTACTTTCAAAAAGTTTCTTGTGCTCTATGTTGGATCATGCGCGGATTATGCCACTTATATCCCAACTTACTTCCCTATATGATACATAGTTCTTCAGTATACTATACTGTATTCCGCAACAGCAGAGTTAGACTTATCCGCTCTACTGAGAGAGGCTATGTGTTCATTGATCCGGTTGTTCAACTTTCTAGCGGTTTCCCTAGTGTAGCTCTTCACATACCAAGGTTAATCTGATATGCTAGCCCGGTATTCAGTTGCTTTTGGATGCCGGCTTTCTTACATTGGTGACCGCCGAGATCGTTCAGGTCTCTGCATACGTGGTTACCCCGTTCTTCATTACGAAACGTTTGATCCATTTGTTTAAGCATTTTTGGTACGGACTGACCAGAAAGGGGAAGGGCACTTTCAAAAGCGTTGTCTTGGAGTTGTCGCTCCTTCTGGATTGTGGATTCTGTCTCACTTCCAGTCCACTTCGCTCGAACTTTTCGAATGCTGACTTTCTTCCTGTTTAGTAGCAAAACCGGAATCAAATTAGATACTGGGAGAAATGAAACTAAAACATATTCGATGTCATAGTTATTCGTGAGACGGACTACAAGTTCTCTGCATCTATGAAATCTGTTATGTGCCATAAGGTTAAAAATATTCTGTAGCCTTTGGCAAGGTTTTTTCAACCTGCACAACGTCCAGCCTTTCAGCCCTTCAGTCTTTCAGAGAGCTTAAGTACTATATTGATATCATTTTCAAAGCCATCAGAAAGCGGTGACATGATCTGTAAGAAAGATGTATAGCTAAATGATCATGAGGATTATTATATCTTGAATAAGGGCAATCTTTAACAACACAAGTGGCGTGACAGAGACTTAGAACCTCGATTTTTCAGTTGCAGATCCGATACTTTAGCTGAACTGCACCGCGACCTTGTTCCATTAGAAAGCGCAGTTCACTCGCGATCTCATAAATGGTCGCGTAAACAAACGAAAAAGGAATTAATTTCAGGGGTATATAAATTTTTCAGTGCACTTGCCCCTGTGATTGATTTGAATCGCCTAGAAACAACAGCTGCTCATCTTTAGATGGTGAATACGTGGTTAAAAATTACAAGATCGAAAATCAGGCACATCAGGTATGTGCTACCTTTTATGCGCATATAAAATAGGTATTGATTCTGATTGGTCAGCTGTTTCCAAAATTGACCTTTATGTTGTACCGTTGTAACAACGAAAATTTGGCGATCCATTTGCGGAAATAGGACAAAGTGCAGTAAATATTGGGTGAACAGAATGAGATGTGTACAGGCGAAAACGTTTACGTGAAAAGTTGCTATAATTATATTTTAGGATGGCACGTTAAATTGAGAAAACGTACTAAAGGAAAGGACCATTTTTCATTCCGTACAAAATTTGTGAAATTGCTGTGTGAAACTGATATGATCGATGTGATGACAGACTGCAGATTTTTTGTGCAGCGTCGTTACGTCAGGGTAGCATTAATTAAGGACTGTTGACGTTTCTGATGGAAATCGCTTTGTTCGCTAATGGAATCATTTGAACAGTTTTCCAGCAGATCTGAGATTAGTAAACAA